CTGCCCCTGCCGTTGCTACTAGGCCCGCCTCTGTCACTGTCCACTCCTCTTCCCCTGGGCTGGAGTTGGAAGGGGGGGGCAGGAGGGGGGAGGAGCAGCAAGAGGAGGAGGGAGAGGAGGAGGAGGAGGAGGAGGAGGAGGAGGAGGAGGAGGAGGAGGAGGAGCAGGAGCTGAAGAGGGAGGGTGAACAGAAGGCGCAGAGTGGAGGTGGAGGAGAGACGTCTGAGGGAGGAGGAGCAGCATCGGCGGCAGGCGACCGGGGAGGGGGAGGGGCAGGGAGGGGGGGGAGAGGGCGGAGGCGCCACCCCAGCACCGACACCGGCCCCGGTGAAGCCGCTCCTGGGGCCGACCACCCTAGGGGGAGGAGGAGGAGGGAGGAGGAGGAGGGAGGAGGAGGAGGAGGAGGAGGAGGAGGAGGAGGAGGAGGAGGAGGAGGAGGAGGAGGAGGAGGAGGAGGAGGAGCGGAGGGGAAAAACACCTCGGCACCTCCCGGCGTCCGTGGGAACTGAAACCCGCTCAGTCGTGGCCTGTGTGGGGGCTGCGCCGCTGCCGAAACCACCCACCCACCCACGGCAATGCCGTGGGTGGGTGGGTGGTTTCGGCAGTGGGGGCACCGACCCCGGTCTTCGGACCCAAACGGTAATCCCGATTCGGCTGCGGCCGAATCGGGTCCCCTCCACTGTCTTGGCCCGGCGACTCCCCGGTCGCGCCAGGGTGTGGAGGGGGGGTCTGGCTTCGGCCAGGCTCGCGGGGTGTCCTGCTCTGTCCCCCTTGGGCAAGGGGACTGGGGGGAGCAGGCCTGGCTACCCATGCGCGGTAACACGCGCCGAGTGCCCCGCACGGCGACGTGGGGTAGCCTGTGTCCCCTGGTGCAGGTAGAACCAGGGAGGCATGGGGGCCGCCCGCCTACGGCGGGTTGGTGGAGCTCCTGATGCTCCACGTGCTGAGCCTGGCGCCTCTTCTTTTTCGCTTCTTTCCTCGTCGTCCTCTTTCTTCCCCCCTCGCGCCTCGTCAGGTAGGTGCGGCCCCTAGCTCTAGGGGGTCGCGCGGCGGTGGGCGCGTGACTCATCGACCGCAACTGGTGCGCAGGAGGAGGAGGAGGAGGGGGGGAGAAGGGAGAGGAGTCCAGGAGGAGGACCGAGCCCTTTGGTGCAAGAGGCGCTCTCGACGACCCCTTGCCCAGACCCCGCTTTGCTCATCCCGAGCCCTGTTCTGATGGCCGCAGCTGCCAGCCCGGCACCCCTGGGGCACCTTCCCCCCATGGCAATTACGCGACGTCGCACGCAGCCTGAGGGAGCCGTCAGCTGCTCGCGCGGTTCTTCCGACGCCGACATGGCGGCGCTCGAGAGTGGCGCCTCCGAGCGTGGCCGTCGCACCGAGCACGCCGACTTCACCCAGCGCGACTCACGCACCCGCGACGTCGAATCCCAATCGCTGGCGGGGGGAGGCCTCGCGTGACCTCCCGCCATGCGCGCCGCCGCGCGAGGCTCCATGAGGCACGCATCTCGAGCGATGGCCGCCCCTGCTGGGATCTGCTCAGGGGATCGATCGGCTGAAAAGATATGTCCCAAGTGGGTGTTAGAGCATGCGAATTATGCGGGCACGGTCCGTGCGAGGGCTGTGCCGAATTGGGTGGTGGTAACGTTTGCGAGCTCAAGTACTTGATCCATGGGTTCAGCATCCTATGGGGTCACTGCCCCCTTGAGGGGTATGTCGAACTTGATGGTGGTGGACTGAGGCCAGATGTGAAGCACCCTATTTGAGCACGATCCGCATGGGTGGCGTTTTCTTCCACTAGAGCCATGTGTGGCTCTCACCATGGGGTATAATTCACGAAAGAGAAATACCGAAAATGTGGTGGCAACGCATGCGAATTCCTCCTGGGGCCACCAATGGAACTCCCTACGGAATAGACCCGCGTGATGCGGATGCTGAATTGGTGCTGGTAAAGCATGCGGGCTGCTCTGCAAACGCTTCACGTGGAGAAACATGCCGGTGCACGGCCCGCGTGAGGGGTGTGGTGAATCGGGTGGTGGTGCACGGCCTGCGAGTTTCCCCATGGGGCCATATGGGTAGCTCCCCTTTGGGGCACGATAAGTTCGACTGGGGGTGCGGCACTGGGTGGTGGTAACGCGTGCACCTCCCTCCACTGTGTCCGCACGTGGGGCTCCCTGTGTGGGGCGCGGCCCGCGCGAGAGGTGTGCTGCATTGGTGGTGATCTCGCATGCGAGTCCCACCATCGGGGCCATACATGCAGCTTCCTGAGGGGGGCACGGTCCGCTCGAGGGGTGTGCCGACTTGGGTGGTGGTAGCGCATGCGAACTTAGTCCAGGAAGGGGCACAGCCAACGCAAGGGATCGGCAACACGACCAGCAAGGGCCGGCGGCAGCAGCGGCAGCAACCTCAGAGCAGCAGCGTGCGGCAGCGCAGAAGCAGCTGCAGGGAGAGGAGGGCGAGGAGAACGAGCGAGTGAGGCGTGCGCGCGGCGCTGCGGAGGGGAAAGCGACGACCCCACAGCACTGGATGGTTGAGACGCATAGGTCTGCGCACCCGAGGCCACGACCTCTCGTCGTCAATACAGTCTTCGCGCTACCATGGGGAACGCTGAACAATGAACGAAGGTCTTTTTCGTGCGACGGCGAGCCTAGGCCACGAATACTCTCCCGGACCTAGATCTAAGGAACGGCCCCGAAACCTGAGCCCCTCTTTAGCCCCACATGGTCCCGATTTCAACGTCATGATGTATGATGGGTCCGTGTTCCCCAGGCCACGACTCATCTCAACATACAACCAACTGTTCTGGGCGCGAGCCACGAGCCCATAGAATGCACGCCCCATGGCTCCGTCCCTTCCTTTAGCTTGTCGCCCTGTTTAGTGAACCCGCGAAAAACGCGTCCAATCAACCTACCGACCTCAACCAACCTACAAACCAACTAGCCAGAAAATCAGCCGTCAAGCCAAGTTGCCAACCTGCAACCACATCAACCCACCAGCCAGCCAACCCAACCCGACTAACCAAAAAGACATGCAAACTGTGAACAAGGGGACTGGCGGCAGAGGGCGAAACCCTTGAAAAAAAGGCGCATCCACAACATGCAGACTGTTGACCAACCTGGGATCCTAAAACCCTACCTAAACGTCACAGGCTCAGGTCTCATGTTCCAAACTTGAAGTCGACAGCTTCTGTAAGCAGGGCATGATTTGCCTATGTTCCGAAACAGGCAGCGTCGCACGCCATCGCCGATTGAAAGAGAGACGACCCTCCCGCCTGTGCGCGACATGTGCGATCGCTGCGGCACCTTGTGCATCGGCGACATGCCAAAATTAACAGCGCCCAACTGCTCCTGGCATCAGGGCGCACGGGTTTGCACAAAGCTGGGAGACAGAAGACATGCATAAGCGAACAACCACAACTGCATCGTATCGGCATTGGCCCATATGCATGTCCAAGAAAGCAAGGGCAACCACTCGACCACTCGAACGTGTGCAAACTAACACGCGTAATGCCAACACGGCCCACCAGTTGCAAAGCAAGGAGCTCAACCACACGATATGCCCACCAACCCGCTAGGGGGTAAATGATTTAAAACAATTCGATGCCGACGATCACACCGATAACATTGACTATCCGTGTCAGATGCCACTTCAAAATGCATGTGGCGGCAAACGCTCGACCCTGCGCGGACACCCCGCGAACACATTGCGTTTGTTCTCGACAGGGGTGGCGGGCCAACATATCTGTCCGCTGCGCGACGGCCGACTACCCCTATCAGAAAATCACGCAAACAGACAACGGGTGCTTACGCTCCGTGCACCGTGTTGACCACCCCGCAGCCACGTCGCAGTGGCGTTTGGCATGGACTTTGCGGGTAGGTCAGTGTAGTGTCCAACGGGCGCTGTGACGTGCACGGGTGCGCGTTGCGCGCGTCGCGCACCTGGTGCACCTGCAGCGGCTGGAGCACATGGCACCTGTGGCGCACTTGGAGCACCCCTCTCGGGTCGGGCGAAAGGGGGGGATAGCAAAGGGGGGGTTTGAGAATCTGCTCACGTAGCTGATTTTCCTGGCGCCTCCCGGCGCCGGAGGCGGCTATGTATCGAGGAATGGGCCCCTCGGCGAGGCCGAAACCAGCTGCATGTAGCAAATTTCGTAACCCCCCCTTTCCCAATCCCCCCCTTTCGTCCGGCCCGACCCTCGCATCTGGCGCACCGGGCGCGCATGGCACGCCTGGGCCCTTGGAGCACCTGGCGCGCGCGGCGCAGCTGGCACGCGCGCCGCACCTCGCGAGCACCGCGCGCCTGGCGGTGTTGCTCTCTTTCGCAGCAGCTGTGCATCGGATGGCGACGTCTGCCAACTTTGAGGGTCGCGTGCTGCGCTTCTTCGAAGGATTGCAAAACAAACCCAGGATTGCAAAAAAGCCCTTCGTTGTTTTGCAATTCTTCGTTTTTTTGTTCAATCCTTCGAAGAAGGATTGCAAAAAAAACAGGTTTTTGTTTTGCAATCCTTTGTTTTTTGCAATCACGACTCCCACTTGCCCCCCGTGACGCACGCATCACGGCCGCAGATGCAGACGTCGAGCACGTGCATGGGTTCACCTGCGACGGGGACGCCTCCACGCAGGCACTCGGCATGAGACACCAGAACACTATGAACACCGCGCGGTCGAAAGAGTGACGACATTAGAAGAGGGTGAAGGAGGACAACGACGACGACAACGACGACTCTCGAGTGCTACTTGTACGGTGGGAGGGCAGGTGGGAATGTTGGTGACCGCTTGTGTTCCCATTGGGAGCTTAGCTCGACCCCCGCCCCCCCTCCCCTGAGTCTCGTTGGGGGGAGAAGGGGAGCGAGGTGTCAGAGAGTGCGTTTTGGCCCAAGATGGCTCCGAAATAGCCCCAAATACCCCAAACTAATTTTCACCATTGCAGAAGATAGCCCAATGTGGTTCCGTATGATCTCAACCATGCCTCGAAATGACCACAAACAACCCCAAGACGATTCCCATGAAGCTCTCAACGGCACCCCGAGACGCCAGAATCTGTCAAAAACTCGGAGTTCTCAAAGATGTGCTCGATCTCGCCTTCCTATTGACCCCTGAGGCCTCAAGATCGCTCACAGATCGTCCCACGACATCCCACCATGGGCACACATGGGCTCCAATACGGCCCCAAAGGTCCAAAGGACGCCCCAAAAGAACGTCCCAACAGTGCCCACAGAGCGACGTTTCGGGCTCCAGCGTGGCCGGGCAAACTGTTGGCCCAAGAGGACCCCAAATGCACCTCCGAAGCCTCCACATTGGCCCCAAGACGGCCTCACGATGGCGTCAACAGGCTCCCAAGACAAAGTCATGAATTCAACCCACTTCTGGCATTGTCGCCGTCATCATCGTCGTGAATTCCCTCCTCCTCCGCTTCCTCTTCCTCCTCCTCAATTCCTCCTGCTCCTCCGCTTCCTCTTATCGCCCTGCTGCCCCCCCTCCTCCCACTCCGACTCAATCTTCTTCCATCTGGGGTTCACCAAATGTTGTGCAAGTTCTGTCAATCACTGTTCCATCTGCTGGCCCTCCTCCTCCTCCTCATAGTCTCCGTCCTCCTCCTCCTCCTCCTCCTCCTCCTCCTCCTCCCCATCGTCATCATTATCCTTCGCCTCCTCCGCCTCATTCGACAGAGCTGTGAAGGCGTGTATAGCTCACTCCTGGGTCTCCTTAGGCTTATCCTGGATTTCGGTTTGACGGCTCCCCCCTCTTTGTTCCACTGGATGCTCCTACACTTCTCCGATCAAGGCAACCTGACTGGGCAGAGATTCTGAACAGCTTGCAGGGGACCACAAGGAGTCAACAATTGTGTCCAACGACCAGGAGCAGCAATCGACGAACAATCAGTTCGAACAGATGATGTTCTCAACGCAGTGGGACGACCGAACGACTGCCACTGGACATGCTGAATGCTGATCACTTGGAGCGGTTTCTGAAAAAAACAATCAAGTTACTGAGCACGCCGTCATGTACCACGCAAGCCTCACCGCTGGCTGCCTGAAGTGGTCTGGCACTTCGGTTGGCGGAAGTATCGATTCCCGAGCGCTCAAATCCACCTAGATGATTTATCCTACTACCTCAAAATAGCAATTCCGCAAGGTCTTCGGTCAGAATTGGTATAAACAGGATGAGCTCAAAACTGAGAACCAACGATCGCAAACTTGCTGAACCATATTGCCAAACTCAGCGTGAACAATCAGAACAGAGGGGGCTTCGGCTAGCACGGGTTCGCTTCAAATCGCATGCGCATTGCCTGGTGCGGGGCGGGCGGTTGTGGTTCAACCCTCCCGCCGAAACAGGGCAGCCTGGATCAGGTCAGGGGACCGGTGGCCTCATGGGGTCGACGGGGACCCAAGGGCGGGGGGAGCATTGGAGCCCGGCCAAGGGCCCTTCCACTAGAGGCCTCCTAATCGGGTTGGAGTGGATGTGGTCGGAAGATCGCGCAGCATCGCCGACGCATCGGCGATGTATTGGTGACGCATCGGCGATGCACGGGCAACGTCTGTGATGCACGGGCAACGTCGGCGCGAAGAAACTCGGGCTCCACATCGAGCCGCATCGCCGATGCATCGGCGACGCGATCCTCCGACCTCATCTACTCCGACCCCATCTCGGAGGCCTCGATCAACGGCCCAACGACGGCGCTGGGTCTGGGATGCGCTGGCATCTCTCGCGCAGGCAATCGGCGCACACGAGGAGCTTTCGGCGCACACGGCGAGCTTCTGACGCCGTCCAAAAGCTCCCGACCGTATCTTCTGGGAAACAAGTTCTAGGAGGCCTTCGCAAGAACGATTAAAGGCTATTCACCCAGATTGAGGTTTTTGAGTCCGACTACGCCGGATTAGACCCAGGTTTCAGCCATATTTCAACTGGAGTGCGGGACTTTGTGAGGTTTCTCACATCGGATACAGAAGCGCCGATGCTACGTTTAACTTCCCAGCAACTGCAATTTAGCGATCTGGAAGGTCTCTCGAACAAAAAAAACTGACTGCGTTGAACGGCCACAGGGTCCAGGAATCTTGGCGAAAGCTCCCACCGTGACTTTTCACGTCGCGCCGAGATCGCAGGGTCCACGTGGCCCAGAAGCTCGGGACACGACGAAGGGGGATGTGGGGGAGCGGGGGGGTAATAGGAACGGGGAAGGCTAGAGAAGCCGCTGCACACACCCGGTTTTCCTGGCGGCGCCTGGCGCCAAAGGTGGCCGTGTACAGAGGAAGGCGCCGTGCCGTGGGCCCGAAGTGGCTGCACGCAGCAGAAGCCGCCCCCCCTCGCTCCTCCCACCAGACCCGCCTCTCCGTCAGGCGCGCGACGAGGAGCGGTGCAGAGCGAGCTGTTACACCCTCGGGGTCGCCTGCCCCAGGGCTGCTGGAGAGCTCATACCCCGACAAGGGCACGCGGGGGTGTACTCCAGATTTCGTAATAAAGGGCGGGGGGTCTCATTTCGGGGGGGGGTCTCTTCCAGGCTATCTTGGACGGCCTGGGGTTGTCTGGGGACGATGTTTTGGAGGGCTCTCCCACGGGGGAGGTCTGAAATGCCTTGTCTTGGAGGGTCCAGGCCCCCTCCCTTTTATCACGAAATCTGGAGTAAACCTTCGAGCCGCCGTGGGGCGGACGCCCCCCCCGACGGGGCAGAAGCTCGTGCCGGGCCTGACGGGGGGGCGCAGACTGCTGCATGCGGCTGGTTCGGGCCCCGCCGCCGGGCGCCCGTCCGCGAAACACTGGCGCCCCCCACCACGAGGAACTCGGCCAATCACGTGATCTCGGTCGTTACTCCCCTCAACATTACCCGCTAAAACAGGGCTAGGATCGGGATAAATCGCTCCAGAGCGTTCCGGAGCGCTCTCAGTCAGTTCCGGAACGCCGTGGAGCGGCCGCGGCGCCCAATACATCCTCCAAACCCGCCGATTCTCAGAGATTTCGAGTTATCCCGATCAGATTTTGTCCCGATCTTCGCGTCGTTTGACCCGCCCCTGCTGGGGATACCAAAAAGTTCGGAGGCTGCTACAGCCCGGACCCGCATGTCGAGGCGAATCCAGCCGTGGCGCGAGGGCCTCCCGGAGGAGGCCCGCAGGGGGCGAAAACGAGGCAAGTGCAGCGGCTCGGGTACCTTCTCCTCCTTCACCTTTTGGCGGTATGGATCAACTCCGACCGCTCTTGTCTCGCCAGAGGGAAGCCTTCGCAGCGCGATGCCAGCTCGCCCCAGCTCCGCCGCCCCCCCCTATGCATCCGTTTTCTGATTCGGCGTTCCGACATTGCGCGGGAGGGGGGGGGGACGGGGGGGGCCTGGCTCCGAACCTCTGCTTGATGCGACTGTTTGCAGTAGTGCGTCCTGTGGGGGAGACTCCACCTGCTTGGAACAGGCGCCAGGAACAGCCAAGATCTGCTCCATCGAGGGGGGGATACGGCGTGCAATGTCGCCCTTCGCGAGGGCTGGGTGGACGGCTCCCCCTTGTAGAGCTTCAGGGGGGCCTCCTCCTCCCCCCCCCCCCTCCTCCTCCTCCCCCTCCTCCTCCTCCTCCCCCTCCTCCCCCTCCTCCCCTCCTCCTCCTCCTCCTCCTCCTCCTCCTCCTCCTACTCCTCCTCCTCTCCTCCTCCTCCTCCTCCTCCTCCTCCTCCTCCTCCTCCTCCTCCTCCTCCTCCTCCTCCTCCTCCTCCTCCTCCTCCTCCTCCTCCTCCTCCTCCTCCTCCTCCTCCTCCCCTCCTCCTCCTCTCCTCCTCCCTCCTCCCTCCCTCCTCCTCCTCCTCCTCCTCCTCCTCCTCTCCTCCTCCTCCTCCTCCTCCTCCCCTCCTCCTCCTCCTCCCCCTCCTCCTCCTTCCTCCTCCTCCTCCTCCTCCTCCTCCTCCTCCTCCTCCTCCTCCTCCTCCTCTCCTCCCCTCCTCCTCCTCCTCCTCCTCCTCCTCCTCCTCCTCCTCCTCCTCCTCTCCTCCCCCCTCCTCCTCCCTCGCCCTCTCCTCACCCAAAGTCACAGTGAGCAAGAAAACGATCCCCCTTCGAGGGCCGGAGCGGCCGCCTCGCCGCCGTGTGCCCGCGGGGTCCTGGCGCGCGCCCCGTCCCCCCGGCGGCCCTCTCGCGCGGGATGCGTGCTGTGCGTCGCCGCCGTGCGCACCGTGGCCGTCGGCACGCGCCGTCGGCGCCGGCGCCGTCGCCGCCGTCGCCGCCGTCGTCGCCGCGCACTGCCCTCCCCTCACGCTGGGGGGGGGGCTCGGCGGCGGCGCTCTGGCTGACCCAAAACATTCCTCGTCCTTCCCTGCCTCCCCCAGGCCGTCTGCTTTGGCCGAGAGGCCTCCCCAGATGGGGTCGGGGTAGATGGGGTCTGAGGATCGCGCCGCATCGCCGATGCATCGGCGATGCATCAGGGGGCAAGGAGGGGACACTGGACAAAAACGCCTCCACGATCCCGAAGGGAGCTCTAGATGGACCCAAGGCCCCTCCCAAACAAAAAAAGGGTTCCTTCCTCAGCGGCCCGATTGTATTGCCCAAGATGGCCACAAAGACGCTCTAAGATAGTTCCCCGAAAATCTCCAGGATACCCAAATCCGCCGACCCCTTCTGGGTCTCTGAGCGTGTAAGATGATTCCCCCCCCATAACTCCCTGTCGCTCGGACGATCATTCCCTGTGTATTTTTTGGTTTCGTGCGTGGTTTTTTCGCAGGGTGATCCAGGATGCTCCCCAATAATCCCCCCACCGAGAAAAAGTGCACACGTCCGAACGATATCAAGATAATCCCCCCCCCCGGACCCCCAAAACAGCAACTTGACCCCCCCCCTTGGCCCGGCGCGCCCCCAGACCGAACCGTGCCATGGGGGAGCGGAGGGCTCCAAAACAGGCCAAGAAGGTACCAAAACGCGCCCAGACGCCCCAGAAGGCCCCCAAGATGCGTCCCAAGAGGGTCCCAAGAAACAAAAATCTCCCCATTCCCTTTGACAGAAAAACATGTTTCGCATACTCGCCTTTTCTGCTTTCACAACGTCGAAGACGGCCAAAGAAATTTTCAGCATCGCCCCCGGACAGCCGAAGGGGCCCCAAAGAGGGGCCGAAGAGGGTCTAAAAACAGCCCACGAAGCCCCCGAGACAGCTCAAGAGGGCCCCCAGACGGCTTCAAGAGAGAGTCAGTCCAGAGGGCACCTTTTCGAGCCTTCGGCCCCCAGACGCCCCCAGCCTGCCCCGAGAACACCCCAAGAGGCCCTGAGGGACCCCCAAGAGAACCACAAAGGCTTCCAAAAGGCCCCCACCCCAGGAAGCCCCCAAGAGGCCCCAAAACTTGGCCCAAGATGCCTCGAGGCGGCCGGATATGGCCTGCAGACAGGCCAAGATGCCACCAAAAGGCCACAAAAGAGCACCACGAGGTACGATAACAGCAACAAAACATCAGGAACGATGTCGAGCACCGTGTCAAGATTCGGACAAGCCTCGTGAAATGCAGTCATGGAGGCGCAGTAGTGTGTATATATATATGTATATATATATATACACATACATATCTATATATATATATATATATGATAAAGGTCGGCGGATGTGGCGTAAACCTATAGAATCACTGATGTTCCTTATCTTGTTCGGTGATTCCTGGCCCGCTAGAAAAAATCCCAAGGGGCCGAATTCCTGCTTCAGACGGCCCAAAAATGACATCCAAAACGCTCCATAACGACCCGTCAGCTTCCCAGGACCTCGGTATTGCCGCTCCAAGACGGCCAAAACGGCTGAATATGGCCTCCAATATGGCTCCAGGACGTCTAAGATGGCCCCAAGAGATCTCACGATGGCTGCAGGGTGTCTCCACGACGGCCCATGATGCACGCAAGATGGCCCAAGATGGCTCCAAGACAGCCCAAGACGGCACGAGAAGGCCACCCCAAGAGGCCTCCGAGAGAGCTTCCAGGAAAGCTCGGAGAGATCTCTCCTCCTCTTCTTCTTTCTCCCCCACGTATTCTCCAACGCGTTTCCACAACAGCTGGGGGGACACAAGATCCGATAGCTTAGCCGCGCTCTGGCAACAACGTTCGGACATGTAGGCGCTTCCACAAGGCAGGGGGCGGCGGTGATTCGCCGTAGGCATCTTCGATCCGCCGCCAAACTCTGACTGCACAGGGGTACACGGCGTCCAACATGTCAGAGTAGCCTTTCGTCACTTTAATGGGTCAACCCAGCAGGCGCGCAGAAGAACCCAAAAAGATGGAAGGCAAGAGCCCTTGTCGCCCAAGATGCCCAGCAAGCCCTTTTGCCACCCAAGACGCCCCAGGAGGGAACCAGAGCGTGTTTCTCTATGTTCGGCGATGACGGGCGTCATTGGGGGGGGGGGGCGGCGGGGGGGGTACCACAGCCGCGCCCGCGCGCACGACGCGACGAGCGACAAGCGACAAGCGATAGGATGACGGCGACGACGACGACGCGAGCAGCATGTAGGTGGCGATCTGCCCCACCACGCCTGTGTACACTACAACGCTCGCGTGCACCAAAACGCGCGTGTACACCACAGCGCCTGCGTACACCGCGACAACCGTGTGCAACGCAGCGCCTGTGTACACCGCAATTCTTGCGTACACTACAGCGCCGGTGTACATGTATACGCCGCAGTAACCATGTGCAACACAGCGCTTGTGTACACCACAATGCTTGCGTGCACCGCGGCGCCTGTGCACGCCACAGCGCCTGACTACACCGCAGCATCCGCGTGCAAATCAGCGCTATTGTACACCACGGCGCTTGCGTGCATCGGACAAGTAGAAGGAGCCTGTACGTGAGGATCTGCTGCGGAAGCGCCACGCCAAGAAAATGCTGATAATCGAATGCGATGTTATTCCCTCCTCCCTCCTCCTCCACCTTCACACCCCCTCCTCCTCCTCCTCCTCCTCCTCCTCCTCCTCCTCCTCCTCCTCCTCCTCCTCCTCCTCCTCCTCCTCCTCTTGCTCCTCATCGGCCAACTTGGTTTTCGGACGGCCAGTTTAGCTGGAGCTTCCTGGACGCAGACGGTAGGAGTTACGGTGATGCGGGCGGACTCGGGAGCACTCGTAGATTCCAGCGGCGCTCCTTTGTCCACAAGGATTCCTTTTCTATGTTTTCTGTGGAATCCACAGACGCTCCATTTTGTCATAACGTTTCCCTCTAACAGTCTACATACAACAGCGGTGCACGGTTGCTGTGGTGCACGCAAGCGCCGTGGTGTACACAGGGACTGCAATGAACGCAGGCACTGTGGTGTCCACTGGCGCTGTGTCGCACACGGCTGGTGTGGTGTACGCAGGCGCTTTGGTGCACACAAGAGCTGTTGTGCCCGCAAGCACGGTGACATAAACTGACGCTGTGCTGTGCACGCGGCTGCTGTGGTGTACATAGGCGGTGTTGTGTACACAGGCGTTATGGCGTTGGTGCTGCCCGTCTTCCGTCATTCCTAGGCATTCCCAGACACCGCCGGCGCGAAGCGTGACGTCATCGACCCCCTCCACCCCCCCAGATGATTGCCGTCATCGGCCCAGAATGCAAAAACAGGCTCCAACCGCGTCCGCGCGCACGACGACGACGAGCGACGAGCGACGAACGACGAGCCACGACGACGACGAAGACGACGACGACGACTGCGAACCAGGCTCCTATGCGGATTCCTACGCGGACCCCAATGCGCACGGCGGCAGTGCCCGGAGCGCACTGGGGGGGGAGCGTTACGTCTAAAGGGGGAAGGGGGTGCGGGGGCCACGACGCCCGTCATGCCCCAGGGAATAAAGAAACGGGCTCCCACGAGACCTTCAAGAAGCCCAAATCATTACGCTTCGCTTGGCTTTTTCATTGCTTTCGAATTCTCACCTCTTCGGGTTTCTGACAAGACGGTCCCAAGGGGGCTCCGAGATGTCGCGGCCTGAAAGGGCTTGAAGAGAGCCCGAAAGCTCTGAGAGCCGCCTTAAGACGGCCCCGAAGGCCAAGAATTGAACACGCTTCTGGACAGGATCCCTGACAATTGCGAGCAGTATGACTCGTATGACGGATGAGAGAGTGAGGATGGTGAAGAGAAAACGTGACATTAAGGGCGAGGTTGGAAACGCGAGGGAGGAAAAGACAGGAAAAGGGACGACGGTTCGCCCTCGTCATCGTCCTCTCCGCTGCCGCAGCCGCCGCCGCCGCCGCCATCGCCCGCGCCCGCGCTCGCGTCGGCGCCATCGCCGCCGCCGCTCGGGCCGGACGAATCCGCCGGACGAAAGGGGGTGAGGGGGATGGAGGGGGGGGGGGGGGGGCAACGCACGCGGGGGGAGAAACGGCGACCCAGCTCACGCAGCCGGTTTCGCGGGCGCCGCCGGTCGCATCGAGGAGCGCGCCTGGCGGCGGGGGCCGTGGCTGGGAGCCCGTGGCCCACGGCTCGAGGCTGGGGGTGGGCCGAGGCACCCCTGGCAGATGCGCCTCGTCCTCAGGATGCGGTTGGGCCGTGCCCCCCCTCGGGAGCGGCCAAGAGGGGGGTGTCCAAGAGGGGGGGGTGCAAATCATGACCGGCGGCACGCGCGCGGCCAAGCGGGGGGGCCCGGGACATAATGAAATAAGAAGAGGCGCCATGAAATCTGCGGAGATATCATGGCCCGCGCCATGATATCCACCCCCCCTAGTCATCACCCCCCTCTTTTCCGCCCCCGACCCCCCCCCCCTCCGTCAGTCAGGGCCCCCGGGTGCCGGGACACTGGCGCGCTCGAGGAGGCCTGCCGCCGTGGGCGGAAGCATCGCCCGTGCTCTTCGCTCCCCCCAGCTGAGGTGTCCGGAGCCCTGGCCTGCAGTGAAGCGGCGCGCCCGGGGGGGGAAGGCAGAATGGGGCGGGCCTCCTCGGCCCTCCCGCCCCCGTTCCGAGCCTTCTCCGGAGACGGAGGCGACTTGTCATGAGGCCCCGCCGGCTTCTGCGAAGACCTGCCCCCGCTCGCTTCTTGGGAGGGCCCAAACGTACCCCCAGGACGACGTACCCCACGTGAGGCGTCGCAGCGGCCACGGTTCCAGCCACGGCAAGCGCCAACACGCAGCCGTCGGTCGTCCCGATGTGGGCCCGGAGGCCACCTGCCCAGGGTTCGTCTGTTCGACCCTCACTGGACATGCCGACCCCTAAATCCCAGGCTCCGTGGTGTTTTGGAATGGACCAACAACCTTGGGACCAACCCTGGGATAAACGATGGGGGACGTCCATTCTCAGTGGGGTTGCGTCCGAATAGGCCCCTTGGGGTCCATCCCAAAGTCTCCCCCCTTTCCTCGGCGCGGCCAGACTGCTCGGGCGGAGCTCGGGGACTGGGGGGGAACATCGCCTGCGATGAACTTCCGCCTCCTGCGAGTCGCCGAGCAACGCCCCGGTTCCACTCGGGAGCGGCCAAGAGGGGGGTGCCCAAGAGGGGGGGTGCAAATTATGACCGGCGGCATGTGCGCGACCCAGCGGGGTGGCCAGGGACGCAATGAACCAAGAAGAGGCGCCATGAAAATCTGGGGAGATATCATGGCCCCCGCCACGATCTCCTCCCCCCCCCCCCTAGTCATCACCCCCCTCTTTTCCGCCCCCGAGTTCCGCGGGCCGCCCGTTGGGCGTGGCTGAATGGGGGGGTCACAAATGGGGGGGTCAGAAACGGTCCCCTTTCGTGCCCCCTTCGGGCCCCTCTGGAGCCCCAGGGGGCTCGTTTACGGCAAGTTCGTGTCGTGACGACCCCGGAGTTGGTTTTTGACACCGCGTGGATCGTTCAACCTTGAACGATCGGCGGCTTTTCGCTCGCCCGATCTTTCCATATAGGCCGATTCTGGGCCACTGGCGGCGTTCAAGCTTGAACGCCCGCGGCGAGGTCGACGAGGGTCGACACGACGCGAACCTACCGTATTTATGACCCCTCCATTACGCAACGCCCAAGCCCAACCGAAGCCGCCCTCGCCGCGCGCGGCGGCGCGCGGCGGCTCCGCTCGCTGTCCGCCGCGGCCTCGCCCGGGGGCGGCGGGCGGCGCTGCGGGGGCGCCTCGGGCGCCGCTCGCGCGCGGGAGGGCCCCGCGGGCGGCCCCGGGCGCCCCGCGGCCGCAGGGCCGAGGCGGCGCGAGGCGCCCCGGGCGCCTCGCGGCCCCAGGAGATCGGAGTTCCTCCTCCTCCTCCTCCTCCTCCTCCTCCTCCTCCCTCCTCCTCCCTCCTCCTCCCTCCTCCTCCTCCTCCTCCGCCTCCTCCCTCCTCCCTCCTCCTCCTCTCTTCCCTCCTCCTCCCTCCTCCTCCGCCTCCTCCCTCCTCCTCCCCTCCTCTTCCCTCCTCCTCCCCTCTTCCTCCTCCTCCCTCCTCCTCCCTCCCTCCCTCCTCTCCCTTTCCTCCCTTCTCCTCCTCTTCCCTCCTCCTCCCTCCTCCCCTCCTCCTCCCTCCTCCCCCTCCTCCTCCCTCCTCCTCCCTCCTCCCTCCTCCTCCTCCTCCGCCTCCTCCTCCTCCCTCCTCCCTCCTCCTCCTCCTCCTCCTCCTCCTCCTCCTCCTCCTCCTCCTCCTCCTCCTCCTCCTCCTCCTCCTCCTCATCCCCGGGGCGCCTCGCGGCCCTCCGCCCCGGAAGATGGACCGTCGGTCCGAGCGGTTTGCCCTGCGGGGGCAGGTGCGGGCCCAAGCAGGGGCCCGGGGAGGGGGCAGGCCGCGGCGAGCAGGCGGAACTCGTCCGAATGGTGGCGGGCGGTGTCGGGTGAGTGGGATCTGGAGGCGGGAAAGAATCGGGGCAGGGATAAGGGTTCGAGGAAAATCGCTTCAAACGGGACTTGGACCCCCCCCTCAAAAAAGAACATCCAGCCGGCTTCCTTCCCCGAGCCCGACCTTGGGGAATGCCTCCGAAACGGCCGACAGAGGCTTAGCAATGGCCCATAAAATGAACCCGAAACGTTCCCAAGCCGACCAACTGCAACTGGAGGAGCTGTCCCCCACCCCGCCCCCCCGCGGGAAACTATCGTGCCGACGATCTTTCGAAGGGGTGGGCCGAAGCCGATGGGCCACTCAGGTGTGTGAGGAAGGCGTCAGAAAAGGGGCTTCGAGTTCGAGCAGATGGGGTCCGAGCGCCGTGCTGCATCGCGAATGCATCGGCGACGTTAGCGATGCATCGGCGCCGTCGGCGTAGAGAGAACCGAGGTTCCACATCGAGCCGCAGCCCCGATGCATCGGCGATGCGGCGCGATCCACCGACCCCATCTATTTCGAAACCACTTGGGCGGCCTGGAGCCACAGCCGAAAGGTCGGCTCCACGTGCAGTGAAGGAGACGATCCGTTCCTCGAGTCTCTTCCTCGTTTCACGTTCGTTTGTTCCTTCTCCTTCGCGTCGCCTCTCAGCTTCTCGAATCCTCTCGGCTGAGGCGGCGGCGCAAGCAACGCATCACTTCTCCGCCTGATCGTTATGCTCGTCACAATATGACCGCGCGAACAGCGCGCAATCATACTATGCCACCTTGGTGCACCCATTGTCCACCCATCCCTGGGGTTCGCGCTGCCGGCCTCGGCGCCTCCGCCCGTGGTGGGGGGGGCGCGTTGACGGTGATGCCATTTAGCCGTTCCAAGGCTCATATGGGAAGCGTGCTCCTGCAAGCTTCGTCGCACGTGAAGCTCAGCCCGCTTGCGATACAGCTGCTCACGCTGTGCCTCCCAGCTTACCGCGGAGTGCGACGCCCGCAGCTCGATGCTACGGGACGTGGCGGTGACTTCGTCGCTCGCCTCCTGCTCAATCCGTTCGGCCGTATCATACGCATCACGGACCTCGGCGGCAGCGCGACCACAGTTCGCGCGAGCCTCCTCGACAATAGTCTGCGTTTGCTGACGAGTGTCACTGGCCTCGCCCTGCGCACGCCGTATCACCTCAGCGCTTTCCGCCGAAGTCCTCCCAGCGACAGCCCCCACAATCTGCCGTTTTGCCGGACCCTTTGCAAAGTTGTTTGGGCATCCGACTCCAGGAAAACATTGCGCGCCTCGGCAGCCCCAAGCTTTTCATCGACACTTGACATCGTGATCAGATGGGTCCCCCAAGCCCCCCTGATGGCGCTCTTGGCCCGCTCTGCGACGTCCTGCTCGAGAAGATGAGCCTGTGTATGGGCCATCACCAAGGCCTCGACCCGGTCTGCCAGTCCTCGGAGTTCCGCAGTAGCTCACATCGACCGCTCCGAAGCGAGGGCCTTGGGCTCTCCTCTGCCTGTTCTACATCGCGGATCATCTCGATGTGGCAATGTTCGGCCTGGACCCGTGCAACCGCCCGCTGCTGAAACTCAGACGCCCAAATCTGACTCATCATCTGCGCAATATCCCGCATCCGGTCTTCCACCATGGCCTCTCGTTTATTTCCTCGGCGTGCTCCCATTCCAGGCTACGGGGGGCCAAGAATTATGCGAGAGGGGTGGGAGATAGTCCGGGCAGAGGTAAGGCACGTTGCATAAGGGGCAGCTGACCGAGCATCCCCACACAGACTGCCTTCCTACACTGGCCCCGCCTGCTGGGCATCGGTGTTCGGGAAACTCTGCGCAATTGGGGCCTCTGTTGGTGCAGAAAACATGGATGCGATCCCTCGAAGCGTCAGAACGGGCAATGCGAGCTGAGGACACGCGCCGGACGGCGTCCTTGTCTGCCGCCGACGCTCGGGCCCTACACCCCTGGCTCTTGGGGAACGCGCGCAGGTAGTCGGAGAAGACGAGATCCCTGGGGCACACCCCCCAGGGTAACCCCCCGGCTCGAGTCCCTGATTTTCTTGCTGCATGCCCTCCGTCCTGGTCCGCTTCACGAGCGGGTTCTCATTGACAGGCTGAACGGTTTCCTGCGGCTGCTTCGCCGCGGGCGCCCTTGGCTCTGGTGCTCCCCCGTATAGATCGCCCTTAGGCGAGACGTGCCCGCCGTCAACGGGCACCGACGCCGGCGACAACTGCCGTGGCGACATGGGCCAGCCCCTAAGCCACAGACCACGGAACAACCTCCTGCGTTAGATCCATCGGTCATGTCCCCGTCGCGGCGCAGCGTCGACCTCGCAGACGTTTCGTCGTAGAACGAAATGGATATGCGATCGGGGTCCTCCCCGTATTCCGTCCTTCGGGTCGGAACATACCCTATAAGACTGATGTGCACCAAGTGGTAGGGGCGACCCGTTCCCGCCAGTCGGCCGTGCCATTCAACGTCAGCGTCGGCCTTGTCCGCGTCCACTTTCGGCGCGTCGCGATGGCCAGGCTCGTGTCCCGCTGGAAATCGCCCCTGCCGACAGCGAGCAATTCATGCTGACGTTCTGCGAGGAACGTGAGTCGAGGCCACTGGAGCAGTCACGGGGCTTGAAAAAAGATCTTGCGCGTCCCGTTTAAGCCGTAGCGCTGTTCCGGTTACATATACCTTCGAGCCAGGAAGCACAGCTCCCCGGTCTCGTGGCAAAGCCGGGCTGACGACCATTTTTTTGTGCCTTGTCATCATGGGCCCAGGCAAGACCTTTTATGCCATATCCGGATATGGATGTAAACGTTCAACGTGTTCGCGTGGATCTTGATCAAAGAAGTATCTCACATCACGACGTTGGTCTGGTGTATTTGGAGATCGCGGGCGGACCTTGTAACACTAGTAATCCTGCGGGGTCACACTCTCCTCTTCGCAGACCCTGCCAACTCTCATATGGAGGGAAGTGGCAGGGGTGGAAAATATAGCGAGGGGTAATAATTACTCTGAAGAGACCTCCAAGAGGCAGTAAGGAGGCCCCAAGAAGATCCCAACAAGTCTCCTCATCCTTCCCCTCGTCCTCCTGTTTCCTCCGTCTCCTGATCCTTCTCATCCTCCTCCACGTGTTCCCCGAAGGGTTTTGTCAACGACTGGGGGAGCGCAAGGTCCAAATACCATGACCAAGCTTTGCCAAAACGTTTGGCCACATAAGCGTATCCGGAAGGCAGGGGCGGCGGTGATTCGCCGCGAGTGCCTTCGATGCACTCCTCCTCCTCCTCCTCCTCCTCCTCCTCCCTCGCCTCTTCGTCCTCCTCGGAAGTCGAACGAATATGTACGCCGCACTGCAATGCACTCGAACCCCCCACTGTTCAGCAGGTGCCGCACGACGAAAATTTACACGTCCTTCTCCGCGCCCAGGCGCCCCGCCTGCTCCTCCTCCCCCTCCTCCTCATCCTCCTCCTCCTCCTCCTCCTCCTCATCATCATCATCATCATCATGATCATCAGCAGCGTCCTCATCATCCTCATCCTCATCCTCATCGTCATCCTCATCCTCAAACTCATCCTCATCATCATCCTCATCCTCATGCTCATCCTAACCCTCATCCTCATCCTCATCCTCATCCTCATCCTCATCATCGTCGTCGTCGTCATCGTCATCGTCATCGTCATCGTTATCGTCATCGTCATCGTCATCGTCATCGTCATCGTCATCGTCATCGTCATCATCATCATCATCATCATCATCATCATCATCATCATCATCATCATCATCATCATATCATCATCATCATCAGCATAATCATCAGCATCATCATCATCCCCGGCTCCTCCTTGTGCGGCCTGCCCGGGGAGGGTAGGGCAGGTCGGAATCTCCGCGGCGCGGAACCACCCCCGGCCACCCCCTTGTGCCACCTGGCGGGACGCCCTGCGAAGGCAGCTGCCCGTGGTATCGTCTGGGGCTCGCGGATGCTGGCCCCCCTCCTCTTGCTCCTCCTCCTCCTCCTCCTCCTCCTCCTCCAGGAGAGGGGCGGCCCCTCTTCCCTCCCAGAAGCGAGGGCCCATCCTCCCTCCCTCCTCCTCCTCCTCCTCCTCCTCCTCCTCCTCCTCCTCCTCCTCCTCCTCCTCCTCCTCCTCCTCCCTCCTCCCTCCTCCTCCCTCCCCTCCTCCTCCTCCTCCTCTCCTCCTCCTCCTCCTCCTCCTCCTCCTCCTCCTCCTGCTCCTCGAGCGGGAAAGCGGAGGAGGCAGGGCAGGTCGGGACCTGCGCGGCGCGAGAGCCCCCGCAGCCCCCCCCCCCCCCACGTGCCGCCTCGCGGGACGCTGTGCGGAGGCAGCTGCCCATAGC